CCTCAAATATTTCTGTGACATTGACCGATTATGTTTAAAAGGATCACTAGCAACCCCATAATTCAGTATGAAAGAGATCCTCCTCGTCCTTATTAAATTACTGATTTTTCTAGGAAAATTCGACATTATTTAGTACACCCACGTCCTTTGGAGGGGTGTAACTTCTGCTGTGCCTCAAATATTTCTGTGACATTGACCGATTATCTTTAAAAGGGTCACTAACAACCCCATAATTCCGTATGAAAGAGATCCTCCTCGTCCTGATTAAATTACGGATTTTTCTAGGAAAATTCGACATTATTTGGTACACCCACGTCCTTTGGAGGGGTGTAACTTCTGCTGTGCCTCAAATATTTTTGTGACATTGACCGATTATGTTTAAAAGGGTCACTAACAACCCCATAATTCCGTATGAAAGAGATCCTCCTCGTCCTTATTAAATTACGGATTTTTCTAGGAAAATTCGACATTATTTAGTACACCCACGTCCTTTGGAGGGGTGTAACTTCTGCTGTGCCTCATATATTTCTGTGACATTGACCGATTATGTTTAAAAGGGTCACTAGCAACTCCATAATTCCGTATGAAAGAGATCCTCCTCGTCCTTATTAAATTACGGATTTTTCTAGGAAAATTCGACATTATTTAGTACACCCACGTCCTTTGGAGGGGTGTAACTACTGCTGTGCCTCAAATATTTCTGTGACATTGACCGATTATGTTTAAAAGGGTCACTAGCAACCCCATAATTCCGTATGAAAGAGATCCCCCTCGTCCTGATTAAATTACGGATTTTTTTAGGAAAATTCGACATTATTTAGTACACCCACGTCCTTTGGAGGGGTGTAACTTCTGCTGTGCCTCAAATATTTCTGTGACATTGACCGATTATGTTTAAAAGGATCACTAGCAACCCCATAATTCAGTATGAAAGAGATCCTCCTCGTCCTTATTAAATTACTGATTTTTCTAGGAAAATTCGACATTATTTAGTACACCCACGTCCTTTGGAGGGGTGTAACTTCTGCTGTGCCTCAAATATTTCTGTGACATTGACCGATTATCTTTAAAAGGGTCACTAACAACCCCATAATTCCGTATGAAAGAGATCCTCCTCGTCCTGATTAAATTACGGATTTTTCTAGGAAAATTCGACATTATTTGGTACACCCACGTCCTTTGGAGGGGTGTAACTTCTGCTGTGCCTCAAATATTTTTGTGACATTGACCGATTATGTTTAAAAGGGTCACTAACAACCCCATAATTCCGTATGAAAGAGATCCTCCTCGTCCTTATTAAATTACGGATTTTTCTAGGAAAATTCGACATTATTTAGTACACCCACGTCCTTTGGAGGGGTGTAACTTCTGCTGTGCCTCATATATTTCTGTGACATTGACCGATTATGTTTAAAAGGGTCACTAGCAACTCCATAATTCCGTATGAAAGAGATCCTCCTCGTCCTTATTAAATTACGGATTTTTCTAGGAAAATTCGACATTATTTAGTACACCCACGTCCTTTGGAGGGGTGTAACTACTGCTGTGCCTCAAATATTTCTGTGACATTGACCGATTATGTTTAAAAGGGTCACTAGCAACCCCATAATTCCGTATGAAAGAGATCCCCCTCGTCCTGATTAAATTACGGATTTTTTTAGGAAAATTCGACATTATTTAGTACACCCACGTCCTTTGGAGGGGTGTAACTTCTGCTGTGCCTCAAATATTTCTGTGACATTGACCGATTATCTTTAAAAGGGTCACTAACAACCCCATAATTCCGTATGAAAGAGATCCTCCTCGTCCTGATTAAATTACGGATTTTTCTAGGAAAATTCGACATTATTTAGTACACCCACGTCTTTTGGAGGGGTGTAACTTCTGCTGTGCCTCAAATATTTCTGTGACATTGACCGATTATGTTTAAAAGGGTCACTAACAACCCCATAATTCCGTATGAAAGAGATCCTCCTCGTCCTTATTAAATTACGGATTTTTCTAGGAAAATTCGACATTATTTAGTACAAGCACGCCTTTTGGATGGAGGGGTGTAACTTCTGCTGTGCCTCAAATATTTCTGTGACATTGACCGATTATGTTTAAAAGGGTCACTAGCAACCCCATAATTCCGTATGAAAGAGATCCTCCTCGTCCTTATTAAATTACGGATTTTTCTAGGAAAATTCGACATTATTTAGTACAAGCACGTCCATTGGAGGGGTGTAACTTCTGCTGTGCCTCAAATATTTCTGTGACATTGACCGATTATGTTTAAAAAGGTCACTAGCAACCCCATAATTCCGTATGAAAGAGATCCTCCTCGTCCTTATTAAATTACGGATTTTTCTAGGAAAACTCGGCATTATTTAGTACCAGCACGTCGTTTGGAGGGGTGTAACTTTTGCTGTGCCTCAAATATTTCTGTGAAATTGACCGATTATGTTCAAAAGGGTCACTAGCAACCCCATAATTCCGTATGAAAGAGATCCTCCTCGTCCTCACTAAATTACTGATTTTTCTAGGAAAATTCGACATTATTTAGTACAAGCACGTCCATTGGAGGGGTGTAACTTCTGCTGTGCCACAAATATGTCTTGTGACATTGACCGATTATGTTCAAAAGGGTCACTAGCAACCCCATAATTCCGTATGAAAGAGATCCTCCTCGTCCTCACTAAATTACTGATTTTTCTAGGAAAATTCGACATTATTTAGTAAAAGCACGTCCATTGGAGGGGTGTAACTTCTGCTGTGCCTCAAATATTTCTGTGACATTGACCGATTATGTTTAAAAGGGTCACTAGCAACCCCATAATTCCGTATGAAAGAGATTCTCCTCGTCCTTATTAAATTACGGATTTTTCTAGGAAAATTCGACACTATTTAGTACAAGCACGTCCTTTGGAAGGGTGTAACTTCTGCTGTGCCTCAAATATTTCTGTGACATTGACCGATTATGTTCAAAAGGGTCACTAGCAACCCCATAATTCCGTATGGAAGGGATCCTCCTCGTCCTTATTAAATTACGGATTTTTCTAGGAAAATTCGACATTATTTAGTACAAGCACGTCCTTTGGAGGGGTGTAACTTCTGCTGCGCCTCAAATATTTCTGTGACATTGACCGATTATGTTCAAAAGGGTCACAAGCAACCCCATAATTTCGTATGAAAGAAATCCTCCTCGTCCTTATTAAATTACGGATTTTTCTAAGAAAACTCGACATTATTTAGTACAAGAACGTCCTTTGGAGGAGTGTAAATTCTGCTGCGCCTCAAATATTTCTGTGACATTGACCGATTATGTTGAAAAGGGTCACTAGCAACCCCATAATTCCGTATGAAAGAGATCCTCCTCGTCCTTATGAAATTACGGATTTTTCTAGGAAAATTCGACATTATTTAGTACAAGCACGTCCTTTGGAGGGGTGTAACTTTTGCTGTGCCTCAAATATTTCTGTGACATTGACCGATTATGTTGAAAAGGGTCACTAGCAACCCCATAGCTCCGTATGAAAGAGATCCTCCTCGTCCTTAGGTACTAAATTACGGATTTTTCTAAGACAATTCGACAATATTTAGTACCAGCACGTCTTTTGGAGGGGTGTATCTTCTGCTGTGCCTCAAATATTTCTGTGACATTGACCGATTATGTTCAAAAGGGTCACTAGCAACCCCATAGCTCCGTATGAAAGAGATCCTCCTCGTCCTTATTAAATTACGGATTTTTCTAGGACAATTCGACATTATTTAGTACCAGCACGTCCTTTGGAGGGGTGTAGCTTTTGCTGTGTCTCAAATATTTCTGTGACATTGACCGATTATGTTGAAAAGGGTCACTAGCAACCCCATAGCTCCGTATGAAAGAAATCCTCCTCGTCCTTATTAAATTACGGATTTTTCTAGGACAATTCGACATTA